CTGGCTAGGGCGGGATATACTACTACTACTATACCAGACAGAAGAGGCTTCTGCTGGCTTAGCTACCGGCGTTCAGAGGGGTGGGACAGCTATGCCAGCACAGAAACGTGTCCGCTAGGGGGCTCCAGGGCCACAGCTATAGCGGCAGCAGCTCTGTAAGGTAGAGAAGCCTGAACTACATCGAATGACCTATTTGCTGGGAAAAGATCAAGCGAGTCCGGCTGCGTGACACGAGAGGTGACCGGGTGGGGGAGCAGAAGGAGCTGAGCTGTTGCAGGGAAAGGGAAGAGGAGGCTGGGCAAAACAGAGCGCCTGTTCGCACGAGAGGAAAGCAGGAGGTGGTGGTAGCGGGCATGGCGGTGTAACTCAACTGCCAGAGGGAAAAAAGATGGGCTGATCGGTATGAGCCGCACCAGGCGGGGGAACTCCCCTGCACACCTCATATAAAGCCAGACAGGAAAGGGCTGTGGCACAACTCCGGGTTACCTGATAAGCCTAAAGCAGGCAGCAGCTTCCACTGGTGCGGCAGCCCCTCCTGCCCTCCCAGAAACACAGGCAACCGAGGCAGGCGGATCTCTCCGGCGCACCTCTGTTTCTGGGAGGAGCACGGGGCGCTGGATCGGGAAGGGCTGGCGCAGGCGACCTGGTGAGGGTCTTTCCAACCCTGTGATCCTAAGTGCGGATGCTCCTGCCCGCTTGAGGCTTGCCTGGTTGTTCACAAGGCAGTTTCGCCTGGGTGAGAACCGCTTAGCTCAGCTTTGGCAGCACAGAAGCGACTCCCGACTGTGCCACCAAATTAAAACAGTTAAGAAGGTGCGCCGAACCGGAATAGAGACTCCCAGAGGTGTCTATACAAACCTCTCAGACGCTACGTCCCAGGGCAAGGACGGCCTTTCTGCACATCTGTACGCTGCCAAGCACAACACAGCCTTAATTTCTGACTGGAGCCTCCTACGCCCTGCCGGGACTCCAATAAATATTGCCATGAAGAGCTCAATCATGGGCAACTGAAGTGACTGATCGCTTGTCTGCAAATGGGTTCCTCCCCCCTCCCCATCTAATTTCTTCCTTCTTTTACGGTATTAAAAAAACCATCAAAGATGTGAATAAATTAAAATATTCTGTCAAAGTCAGTATCACGGCGAGGCAAATTAACAGGCTCAGACAACAGAGAGAAGTTGAGCCTCAGGACGGATTTAAAGGAGAATGAGCAAGCGGCAACGAGGCAGGGAGAGAGAAGTGAACAGCAACAACACACGCATCCTGGTGCGCTACAAGGACACAACAGGCCTCCAACGGGAGGATCCCTGATCCGCTGGGAGCTGGGCCAGGCAAAGGAGCTCTTAAGTGAAAGAAGCTGCCTTTGGAGATGGTCATCCTTCTCCTGCCTCCAGAGTCTCTGCTGCTGCCTGAGTGATGCCAGCCAACCTAGACGGCATCATATTCCCGGGCAGATACAGGACTTTGAAAACAGGGGTAGAGATGGCAGCTTACCATCATGTATAACACGACACGGTCTTCTCCAGATTTCTACTGAAGCATGCACCCATTTCCTAGATTATACATATAGTTTAAAAAAACCGCAACAAACCAAGCAAAAAAATAGTCAAATATTGCTTCATTAGTCCCCGAGTCATTATAGTTAAATGTACATCTTTTATTTGGATTCATAAAACAAAAATCTTGCCTTCTTGAGCATCTAGGCAGTGCCTCTGATAACTAAGGTGTAGAAATGACTGCCAGTGAAGTAATATTACTCCACCTAAGTTAAGGCTTTGATCTAGAGCTCAAAACAGTCTGCAGAGCTTTGAAACAGAAAAGAGGCATTCCCAGGAAGGGCAGACAGACAGCAACATGGCAGAAGAAAGGTTAGTTTGAATGGTGGAATATCAAGACCATTAAAAAGGAGAGGAGGCCGTTAACACCCGTGGAGTGGAGAGATTAGCAGGAATCGGGAGATGATAATGAGCTATGCAGCCAATTGACTCTTAGCAGTGCTCGAAGAGAAGTGTGGCTGTCCCTCTCAAGATGTTGGTTTTAAAGTTTGGGTGAAGCAGGAATCAAAGGGGGTGCGACTGCACCTAGATCCTGCGGTGAACATACTGTCCTCGTTAAGAGTCGTCAGGGAGCAAGGATGAAAGGCGCGTAAGCAAATGATCAGCCTGAGAGAAAGTGGCCAATCAAGGTACCAAGAGCCACAGGCTCAAAGATGTGCGCAAGCAGATGGCAACCCTTCAAGCTAAATGGACCCGTCCGTGACACTGGTCAGAAAAAGCTTCACCAGCTGAACTGCGCCAGCAATCTCAACGCCCGCGGGTCGCTGGAACCCTATTCCCACTGGGAAAACCGGCAGATGGGGACTGAGAAGTAAGCGTTGGTAGCAAACAGCTCCTTTCTGGAGAGGGTGGTGTGAGGACAAGTCTCCAACATCGTGTCTGGAGCTACCGATAAATCTCCCCTACTGGGGAACAAAAGGTAAAAGCAGAATACCTCAGACCGGCTTGTATCTCTGCGTCGTCACCCACCGCTCGTTAGAGCATTCCCCTCAACAGATAAGGACCACCCTAAGGTGAGGCTGAGCCTTAGGTCACACCAACGCACTACACCAAACCCATCAGCTCTCTTCTAGCTATCCTGTATCTGGCCTTGCAAAAGGGAGAGGAGAGGACTGCAAAGTCTGCACTTCCTTGCACCGGGCACTCTCTTGCGCAGGAGAATTAGATCACAAAGGGAAAGTGTCCTGAAGAACGATGAGCTCCCCTCTGACGAGCACATAGATGGGAGTTTAATTAAGACAGAATCAACAGATCATACTTAGAGAGAGAGACAACTACGAGTGCAGCCCTGAGAGGTTAAAAGGGCCCCATCATTTTTCCACTTGGCAAAAAGATTTAAAAATTGCAAATATTAACAGCAACCCCTGACAGCTCCACATTACCCCTGGAGCGAACGGCGGGGTGAGGCCGTCTGTCTGCACTTACCCATACTGAGTCATTACTGATTGCACCTGGATTACAGGGAACAAAGCCAGGCATAAAGAGCCGGCAATCCACACCCTGACTGTGGCAGACCAGTAACACGTTAGCTTAAGCCTGTAATCATGAGCCCAGCTATTAATGCACAAGAATTTGCACGGCCAGAGACAGAGCAATCCAGCCTCCGATCCAGCAAGGCTATGGAAAGTACTGAGCTAATACCATAAGGGGAAAGAAGGATTAAAAACACAGTGCCAGTATCGCATGCAAAACACTCTCAAACCAGGCTCCGGTACACCTGGCAGGTCCGGCTGTGGCATTTGCGAATTCTGCATGCGCTACAGGACAGGATTAAGCCCACTACCGATTTCCAGGAAAGGCAGGAAGAAAACTGGCTGAAAGAGGAGGGAGGGGAAAAGACCATCTCCTTCATGCTTTCCTCTTTCATCTCCGAGATGTGGGGAGGGATAAAGGGGACCCTTCCCACATTTCTTCCCAGGAGTCAAGCAGGCAAATTCCAGGTCGATCAGGTTTTCCTAGCTGGCGACTAAGAGCCACGCAGTGCTTGAGGCCAACCTCGTGAGGACACTATCGAACAGCAGGGTGCTGGGTTCAAGTCTCCTCGTGACCTTGCTGGCAACAGGGTGGTGCTTTTGCACCACCCCTAGTCTCTGGCTAGCAGATGGAGTTCGGTGGCTGGCAGGTGGCCGATAAAACTCTGAAGCCCGACACGTCCCACCTTTGGCTCAGGACACTGAGAGAGAGGCATCTGCCGAACAGTAAGCAGCGTGCAACGTTTTGCTGCTGTGAGATCCTAGGTTGTGTGATAATGAGGGGGCCTAGACCCAGACCCAGATCTACCCTGGCACCGGCGCATACAGCCTTGCTCTAACAGAGAAGAACATTATCTCCTCATTTCCTAATCTCCTGAAACACAATGAACTGGCAATTACTTATTCAAATTAAAGGGTAGGAAACTGCACATTAAACAGGTATTAAAAGTTCGCAACCTAAACACCGTATTGCAAGCTTAAATTAACGATCGTGCTATCAAAGAATATCAAAGCAATAGATGCAATAAAAAAGAGTCATCACCCTCTGATTTAAAGAAGAGAGGGCATTAGACTCCATATCCCAGACCCATATGGGACTTAAACCCAGAGGGTCCTGGCTAGAGGTCTTGCCCATCTGCTCAGGGTCAGACTGACACCATACTTGGGGTCAGGAAGGAATTTTACCCCAAGGTCAGATTGGTACAGATGGGGATGGGGGGGCGTGGATCTGCCTTGCTCCATAGCAGGTGGCACAGCCCCTGCCTGGGATCTTCCAGGGTATATTAACAACCTTTACAGCAGCAGGATGCCAGCCACCATGGACCCCCTGCATTACCTGGGGCAGGTCTGGATGTTATCTCTTGGGTCTGGGGTCAAGGCTGACTCTGCAGTTTTGCTAAGAGATCAGATGGTGGATTTGTCTGGGCTGGTTTGGACAGGACTGAGCCTGTCTCAGGCAGGGGCTGGACTGGATGCAAACCCTGGAGGTCCCTTCCAGCTCCACTTCTCTATGATCCCCGTCAAGCTCCTGATAAGCCCCCACCCCCTCCTTCCCCCTCCATCCAGTCCAGCACCACACCCTTCCAGAGAGTCCCGCACAGGTCCATCTTCTTGCAGCTGAAGTGCTCGACCCTAATTCACAGAGCTCCCAGCTGGAGGGCAAGAGAGAACTGGATCCAGTTTCCCCAAACATCATCTTTAAGATGGGAATAAAGCAGCTGAGTTAGAGACTTTACCAGGTGCTCATTCTGTGGGCAAACCACAACCTGACTCAACAGGTTAAACAAAGAAAGCTAAAGGACAGGACTTCAGCTTTCCTGTTTGTATAACAGGAGCGGCATACAAACATTTTCATAGGCCTCTTTCCTCAAGGCCAACGTGCTCCTGAGTTGCCTAGCTAACACGGCTGTCTTTGCACCTAGATCCCAGCAAACCGTTAACAGCCGACACATGTGTCAAGAGAAATTCTTACCTGTTGCTTCAATGTACTCGATACATCTCTCGATAAAGATGGGAATGGGTTTTTCTGGAGTCACTACGCTGGTCAAAGGCACCCCAAAATAGAGACTTTCCCACGTGGGCTTTGTGATGGACGGCCGAGGCTTGGGCTTTGGTTTCTGCGGGAAGAAAGTGCAGGAGAGTTGAGAAAAACACCAGAATACACTCCAGGCTACGAACACAACACTAGCAAAGTCAGAAGCTGAACAAAACCAGAGCCAGAAAGACAGGCAAAAGGGGACAAATGTTTGGGCTGCACGTTCACAGGAGTTTTGGAAAGCCACGCGGTCCGCGAGTCCGATTTCGCCGCCCAACATCTCACATAGTCAATCAAGCCCGTGCAAAATGAGGGCGGACGACCACGGAGGGACGGGGCCCTGGACAACCTCACCCTAAAGCTGGAAGAGCGCTCAGAGGTGAATGTGAAGTGTTCACGCCTGCCCTCCTCCGGAAGCACGGCTCCTGGGTTTCAAACCTGCTGCTACAGATGGCACCGGCGATGCGATTCACGGGAGCCTACGTCCCAGATTACACGGCGACAGGGGAGGCATTTTGATGGACAACACTTCCCACTGCAGCCGCTTCATCTCTGTTGTCCCGCTACCCCAGGCGTTTATCTACTCACGCTTTTTCTTTGGGGAGGATTAACAAGACCTGGATTTAGATGTCAGGGAAGGTTCTGGTTGGGGTCAGGGGGAAGGGGAACAGGGGAGGAAGCTCCCCGTTTTGGGGGGGTTTTGATCACTGCAGCAATGTGACCATTTGCTCTCTTTAAGGCGCACAGACCTGAAGAATAAAAGCGAATTTGCCAAGATCGTCTCAACAATATCAAATGAGATCTTAAAGGAAGCATTAACATTCACACCTGATGAGGTCCCGGGTGCGGGACCTGGGGGACAATACGAACATTGTGTATCGGACCATTTCAATCAGGGGTGACTCCATTTCAATTTAGCTTCCAGCACGATAAAAATAAGCTCCCAAAGCAGGTGTCCGGGTTTATTTTCAGCTCTGGCGAGTTGATTATTCTCCAGCTTCTGCCCAATGTCACCGCGCTGTAACTCCAGCAGCCTAATGACCGTACGCAGCGGCATGACCGAATCTCCCTGGAGGGAGCTCCCATCCAGATGCGGGGGCACGTGACCCCAGGAACCCCCCCCTCATTGTTTATACCCGCTCCCAGCTGGAAGAGATCACTTCCTGTTTAGTCTGTGTTTCTATTAAAACTTCCTCCTCTGCAGCACGGCTGATAGGCAAGGTCGCGGCAGAACAATACTGAGCTGGTGCTAAGGATGGGCCGGCGTTTATTTTTGTGCACCTTTTGTTCGCGCCAGTAAAAGCAGCGAAGGGCAGATTTAGAAGAGTCGGGAGATAAATTTAGTAGCAGCAGCCATGTGCCCACCTACAACTAACCCCCGGGGGCAACTGTAAACTCGCTGGCATGTAAGCAGCTGCGTGTACCCCTGTGCCGGGCTCATCTACTGCAGGTGAGAAACCAGAGCCGTGCTTCCTCCCCCAAATCCACACAGCCTGCAGGTCTCGATCCTCTCTCTCATTAGCTGCAGGCAAGCGCTAAGTATTTTAGCATGCACCTCTCAGCCACTGGCGTGCTTGCTCCATGCCAGAGTTCGAGGTGAAACACTGCAATGCTAACAGGCAGAGAAGCTCCCCACCGGCAGATGTTGTTCCAGGATCAGGTATTAAAAAAATCCTTGGTGCCTACACCCCTTGTAGAAATCATAGAGAAGCTGGGCTGGAAGGGACTTGCATAGCTCCTCTAGTCCAACCCCCTGCCTGAGGCATGATCATCCCTATCCAAACCATCGCAGACAAATGCACAATTATTTGGAGTCGAGAAGGAATTTTACCCCATGGTCAGGTTGGTAAAGATGGGGGGGGGGAAGGGGTTTGCCTTCCTCTGTAGCAGGGGGCATGGTCCTCTATGTGGGGTCTCTCAAGTGTATACTAACAACTAATAGCAGCAGGACCTTGCCTGCCGCCGTGCCCCTGCTTTCCCTGTGGCAGGCTCGCGTGTGACGTCTTGTATCGTGTCAGGGTTGACAATGAACTTGCAAAGAGTTTAGCGCACTTAGGACGGAGCAATCCCCTGCACCGGTGCAGGCTGGGGTGACGGGCTGGGCAGCAGCTCTGCAGAAAAGGACCAGGGGACAGCGGCAAAGAGGCTGAACAGGAGTCGGCAGTGTGCCCTTGGTGCCAAGAAGGCTACCAGCATCCTGGGCTGCATTGGGAGGAGCACTGCCAGACGATCCAGGGCAGCGATTCTTCCCTCTATTCAGCCCTGGGGAGGCCACATCTGGAGTCCTGTGTCCAGTCGAAGCTGCTAGCGTGACAGCACCCTCCCTGAGCTCCCAGCTGTATCAAAATTCAATGCAAACTTTACAACATAAAACTGGCAACAGGACAAAAGGCCTTTCCTCCCCCAAACAGCTTAACGAAGTGCAGTACATTACAGCGGGACATGGTTACATAGAGGAAAACATGGGCCTTTTTTGGCTCGGCAGAGCTTCGCAACCAGCGTTTTGGAAAAAAGATCCAACACTGGCATGACAGAAAGCTGCAATTGGGACGACTCCAATCACTAGAAAGCTTTCACGCCGTATATCATTTTAATGATCTGTAGCACAGCGGGGCGACGGCGGAGCACAAATCCGAAAGCCGTGAATCTCTCTCTGCCGTCCTCAGAAGCAGCGGTGGGTGAAGCGTGCGAAGGGAACGAGGCGCTGCTGAGACGTGTTTATGGGAAGCAGAGGGACCGACAAGCTCTGACCACCGAGCACGTTAGCAGCCTGCTAACAGGGAGTATCGTGGAGAGGGGATGGGACGCCTGGTGCCCTGCTCCTAATGCCCCTCGCCGCCTGGGACTGAGGGAGGGTGCAAGGAAGGAA